CCTGATGAATATGGATTCCAAAATTCTCAACAAAATCCTAGCTAATAGGATCCAACAATACATTAAAAGGATCATCCACCACGACCAAGTGGGATTTATCTCCGGGATGCAAGGGTGGTTCAACTTTCACAAATCAATCAATGAGATAGAACACATTAATAAGAGGACAGAGAAGAACCATATGGTCCTCTCAATTGATGCAGAAAAAGCATGTGACAAAATACAGCATCCTTTCCTGATTAAAACTCTTCAGAGTATAGGGATAGAGGGAACATTCCTCAATTTCATAAAATCCATCTATGAAACACCCATAGCGAATATCATCCTCAATGGGGAAAAGCTGAGAGCCTTTCCCTTAAGATCAGGAACACGTCCCACTATTGTTCAACATAGTACTAGAAGTCCTAGCAACAGCAATCAGACAACAAAAATAAATAAAAGGTATTCAAATTGGCAAAGAAGAAGTCAAACTCCCTTCTTTTCACAGATGACATGATACTTTATGTGGAAAATCCAAAAGATTCCACCCCCAAATTACTAGAACTCATACAGCAATTCAGTAATGTAGCAGGATAAAATTTCAACACACAGAAATCAGTTGCTTTCTTATACACTAACATGCAACTGTAGAAAGAGAAATTAGAGAATCGATTCTATCTACAATAGCACCAAAAACCATAAGATAAAATATACTAACCAAAGGTATAATAATAAACCTAACCAAAGAGGTAAAGGATCTATACTCTAGGAACTACAGAACACTCATGAAAGGAATTGAAGAAGACACAAAAAGATGGAGAAACATTCCATGCTCATGGATTGGAAGAATAAACATTGTTAAAATGTTTATGCTGCCCAGAGCAATCTATACCTTCAGTGCCATCCCAATCAAAATTCCAATGACATTATTCAAAGTGCTGGAACAAACAATCCTAAAATTTGTATGGAATCAGAAAAGACCCTAAATTGCCAAGGAAATGTTGAAAAAGAAAAAGAAAGCTGGGGGCATCACGCTGCCCGATTTTAAGCTATATTACAAAGCAATGATCACCAAGACAGCATGGTACTGGCACAAAAACAGACATATAGACCAATGGAACAGAATAGAGTGCCCACATATGGACCCTCAACTCTATGGTCAAATAATCTTCGACAAAGCAGGAAAAAATACGCAATGGAAAAAAGACAGTCTCTTCAATAAATGGTGCTGGGAAAATTGGACAGCTATATACAGAAGAATGAAACTCGACCATTCTCTAACACCATACACAAAGATAAACTCAAAGTGGATGAAAGACCTCAATGTGAGACAGGAAGCCATCAAAATCCTAGAGGAGAACATAGGCCTCTTTGACATTGGCCACAGCAACTTCTTTCAAGATACATTTCCAAGAGGAAGTGAAACAAAAAACAAAATGAAGTCCCAAAAGTTCATTTTTGCTTTTGTTTTGAAGCAAAAATGAACTTTTGGGACTTCATCAAGATAAAATCTTCTGCACAGCAAAGGAAACAATCAACAAAACAAAGAGGCAACACACAGAATGGGAGAAGATATTTGCAAATGACACTACAGACAAAGGGCTGATATCCAAGATCTATAAAGAACTTCTCAAACTCAACACCCAAAAAACAAATAATCAAGTCAAAAAATGGGCAGAAGACATGAATGGACACTTCTCAAAAGAACACATGCAAATGGCTAACACACACATGAAAAAATGTTCATCATCATTAGCCATTGGGGAAATTCAAATCAAAACCATATTGAGATACCACCTCACACCAGTTAGAATGGCAAAAATTGACAAGGCAAGAAACAACGAATGTTGGAGAGGTTTGGAGAAAGGGGAACCCTCTTACACTGTTGGTCTGAATGCAAGTTGGTACAGCCACTTTGGAAAACAATGTGGAGGTTCCTCAAAAAATTAAAAATAGAGCTACCCTATGACCCAGCAATTGCACTCCTGGGTATTTACCCCAAAGACACAGATGTAGTGAAAAGAAGGGCCATATGCACCCCAATGTTCATAGCAGCAATGTCCGCAATAGCCAAACTGTGGAAAGAGCCAAGATGCTCTTCAACAGGTGAATGGATAAAGAAGATGTGGTCCATATATACAATGGAATACTAACTCAGCCATCAGAAAGGATGAATACCCAACTTTTACATCAACATGGATGGGACTGGAGGAGATTATGCTAAGTGAAATAAGTCAAGCAGAGAAAGTCAATTATCATATGGTTTCACTTATTTGTGGAACATAAGGAATAGCATGAAGGACATTAGGAGAAGGAAGGGAAAAATGAAGTGGGGCTATCAGAGGGGGAGACAAACCATGAAAGACTATGGACTCTGAGAAACAAACTGAGGGTTTTAGAGGGGAGGGGGGTGGGAGGATGGGTTAGCCCAGTGATGGGTATTAAGAAGGGCATGTATTGCATGGAGCACTGGGTGTTATACAAAAACAATGAATCATGGAACACTACATCAAAAACTAATGATGTACCATATGGTGACGTAACCTAATAAAATTAAATTTAAAAAAGAGCACACAGGATCACTGTATTATTTCTTTTCTTTTTTTTATTAAGATTTTTATTTTAAGTAATCTCTACATCCAACATGGGGCTCAAACCCACAACCCCAAATTAAGAGTTGCACGCTCCACCTACTGAGCCAGCCAGGCGCCCCACTGTATCATTTCTTATAACTGCATGTGAAGGGTGCCTGGGTGGCTCAGTCGGTTACCCGTCTGTCTTCAGCTCAGGTCGTGATCCCAGATTCCTGGGATGGAATCCCACATTGGGCTCCCTGCTCAGAGGGAAGTCTGCTTCTCCCTCAACCCTCCCCCCTCCCTTGTGCTCTCTTTCTCTCTGTCTCAAATAAATAAAATCTTTTTAAAAATATAACTGCATGTAAATCTACATTTATCTCAAAATTAGTTTAATTTTAAAATTTAGTTTCATTTTTAAAAAGCAATCTTTTGGCCCATGGAAAGGGGATGAAGAACAGCAGATGCTGACACTTCTCTGAGCAGATCTTTTGTACAGGATTTACTTCTGGATTCATATTAATGGTTTATGTGCTCAAAATATAATAAAATTACAATCAACCAGGATGAAGGGAAAATTCTAAAGTGAAATACAAAAGAACCCCTGAACCAACAACAAATGAAGCTAACTGTACTGCACATGAATAATATCACTATGCTGAAGGGAGAAAGATTAATCAAGTAACTTTTGAATATAAATTTTTTATGTCACAAAACAAAAAGACTGTAATTTTCTGTGTGTACATATGCATTTAATTCTCTTCAATATACTCAAGAATCACTGAATTTGCTGATCACTACATCATACAGCAAATCTAGGTTTAATATTTTCAGGAACTTACAAAATATTTCCAAAGTGGCAATCCTGTATGAGGGTTCTGAGGACTTTACATCCTTGCTGACACCTGTTAGTGACATTTATGTCAATTCCGTGGCTTGGATCTCCTCCATCGTGTGGACTGTGTAAATTCAAATTCCAAGTCCCAACTGGGAAAGCTTAGGGATATCAATCACTCAGGAGACTGGCCTACCAACCCCTGAAGACTGTACACGGCAGGCTCAAATCATACTTTTATTCTACTTAACAAATACAGCAGGTACTAAATACCAGACATTGTGATAAACACTTCACAGATATTAAATTCTCATAACAGTTCTAAAAGGTAGGGTACTATTATTATCTCTATTTTATAGATAAGGAAAATTGAGGCAATTACAGAAAGCCTGTATCAACGTAACTAGTATGTGGTGAACCGAGACTTAACCCCTTACTCCAGTTTGACTTCAAAATCTGTGTATATTCATTAACTAATTAAAGTGAAAATATCTAGCAAACAATTAGAAATGTGGGACTGAAGCTTTTTTAAAAAATATTATTTAGGGCGCCTGGGTGGCTCAGTCGTTAAGTGTCTGCCTTCGGCTCAGGTCATGATTCCAGGGTCCTGGGATCGAGTCCCGCATCGGGCTCCCTGTTCCTTGGGAGGCTGCTTCTCCCTCTGCTTCTCTCTCTCTCTCTCCCTCTCTCTCTCTCTCTGTCTCTCATGAATAAATAAATAAAATCTTTAAAAATAAATAAATAAATAAAAATAAATTTAAAATATTATTTATTTATAAGATTTTATTTATTTATTTTTAAAAGATTTTATTTATTTATTTGAGAGAGATGTACAAGAGAGAACTCAAGCGGGGGGAGCGGCAGAGGGAGAGGGAGAAGCAGGCTCCTCACTGAGCAGGGAGCCCAACGCAGGGCTCAATCCCAAGACCCTGCAATCATGACCTGAGCTGAAGGCAGATGCTTAACTGACTGAGCCACCCAGGCACCTCTTAAGATTTTATTTTTAAGTAATCTCTACACCCAATGTGGGGCTCAAACTCACAACCCCGAGATCAAGAGTTGCATGCTGTCCTGACTGAGCCAATGAGGCACCCTGGGACTGAAGCTTTTTAGAGATCTCAAGGGTGGAGAAAGGTACTGGAGTTGCCAGCAAAAAATAAGTCAAGCGCCATATTAACATACTTAAAAGAGGCAGGAAGGACTAAAGCTAATCCTTCTAGGGGTGAAACAAAACTTAGAACAAAAAGGGGGCTTTCTCTCCCCCTTTCTTTCAACTTTCCCATATTTTTTTAAAAGATTTATTTATTTATTTTAGAGAAAGAGATAGCACAAGGAGGAGAGGCAGAGGGAGAGGGAGAGGGAGAGAAAGAATCTCAGATTCTGTGCTTAGTGCAGAGACCGACATCTCACTACCTTTCGATCACAACCTGAGCCAAAACTAAGAGTCAGATGCCTAACTGACTGCACCACCCAGGAGCCCTTCAACTTTTCCATGTTTTTAAATGTTCTATAATGAATATGTATTACAAAGTAAGAAAAAAGTTATGTATTTTTTGGGAAAGGATGGTGAAAATCCAACCTAGAGAGGATGAATGAAGCTAGAGAATGTTTACCTGTCATGAATAGAGTTGATGTAAAGGTTGACAAACCAGGTGAGAGAGTACTGGTACATGGGATCAATGTTAGCCAGGTCTGCAATGCTGAAGAACAATACTGATGAATGTTTAGCAATGGCTCTGTAGCCTTCTCGAGACTCTGCTATTTTGAGTTCCGTTTTTTCTGCAATCTAGAAGAAAAGAAAAATCAGGATTAAGGAGTAGGAAATGTGTTTTTTAATTATGTATTTTTCATATAATAAAGTTTATATTTAAAAAAAGAGCCCCCAACTCAATGACAAAATTATAGAGGCATAGTTTATAAGAAAAGGCTTTATTATGATAAAAGCTAGAAAGAAAGAAAGAAAGAAAGAAAGAAAGAAAGAAAGAAAGAAAGAAAGAAAGAAAGAAA